CCCCACCACCACCACCACGCGCGCCGCCGCAGACTCCGCTTCTACTTGGTCCACAGCGCCTTGACAACAGCCACTAAATTGAAGCAAAGCAGTGGAAGGGGTTTTCGAGCCAGAGCGTTGGTGCGCGCCGTTTGGGGGAGCGAGGAGGGTTGGGCAGAGGCGGGGTGGGTGGCGAGGCAGGGTGGCGAGGTGGCGGGTGGCAAAGTTTCAAAGGAAGCGATTGGGCGCAGTTAACAGGGAGGCACGTTTACGATGTTTCCACCTTACCTCTGCACCAAACCGCTGCCAGCCACACGGCCTGCGCCGCACTTATGTGTCTTTTGCAGCTGGACTGGCTTCACCATTCTTTTGTGTCCATGCGGTACGATTTCGTGGGTTTGGCGATGGGAGGTAGCAAACATTGCCCCGATAGGAGTCGCCTGGACCAAGAGAGGCGGCAACAAGGGGGGCGGAGAGGGTGGCAGGAAGTCGGAGCGGAAGCAGGCACCAGCAAAAGTGGGCGGCGGTGCGGGGGCAGGGCCTGGCACTCCTGCAGGACGAGGCTCGGTCAGGATATTGCAGGGCCTGGAGCCTGGCCCTGGGCCTGGCCGCCAGAGGACATGAGCCCTGTGATTAGCTGTGGGGCCCAGCCCGGCCCAGCCCGGCCCAGCCCGGCCCAGCCCGGGGAGGCCGTGAGGGGAATGCTGACGGGCTGCTCGGGGTCCTCCGGTCCTCATGGGGATACTCACCACCTGCACCCGCCGGTGCACCACCACGGTGTGCCAGGCGTTGTCGTCGAAGCGCACGCGGTTGGGCTTGACGCTGAGCTCGACGCGGCCGTTGCTCAGGTTCATGGACAGTATCACCCCTCCGTCCTTGAGGGCCAGGTTGAGGTAGTCAGCACCTTCGCCTGCAGCAAGAAAAGGAAAAAATAAACCATCAGAAACTCATGCACAAATGTATGGGAACTATCTATACAGGGTGGTCCACAGACCCCTTCCTTTATTTTGCTTATACTGTACCGCATGCAGGCTTGCGGACGGGCTTGCCTACCGTCGCTCCCCACGGCGCCTTATGGCCCCGTGCGAGTATGCAACCCGGCCGCACGCCTGCATCCGGTACAGTATAAGCAAAATAAAGGAAGGGGTCTATGGACCACCCTGTATATTTATATTTGATTCTCTGCCGTATTTTTTGAGGACCAGCTATGAGTCATCTCTATCAATAATAATTATTGTTCGAGCATAGTATACGAATAACTACTTTAATTTATCTCGGAGCGAAATAAATCACCCATCTTCAGCAAATTACCAAACATGAATAGGGGTGGGGTGCGGGACGCCTTTGCAGCACTGAAAGCTGTGGTCAAAATGATAAGTGGCTTGAACCAACCCCCCCGAGGAACGCTTTGCTCTATTCAAGAGCCCCTAACGGCAACTCCCACTCCTCGGCAGGCACTCGAAGAATGAAATTACTGTGATATTGGAGTGGGTGAGGCAAGGGAAAAGGGGGGGAGGGGCTGAGAATCAATTTAGGTCAGGTGCGCACAAATTAGAAAGAGGATATTAAGGTTGGTGCCAGGGTGTGAGAGGGTGGCGCAGGGTGTTCGCAAGGCAGGGGGTGGGGTAGAGGTTGATTGCCGAGGAGGGGGGGGGTGCAAAAGATAGCAGGAAAGGGGGTCGGATAGGGGGTCGGGCGCCACTTGGCTCACCACGCTTGATTGATTGATTGAATCAGTTTGAGGGCGGCCAGCCCGAGCCGGGCCAGAGGCATTGTGTATGCCCGTCACAGCACTGGCAGCCATGCCAGGGGGGAAGAGGAGGGGGTGGGGCTCGCACCCTGCTTGTGGTGGGGGCGCGCACACTCCAGCGGGGGCGGGCGTCCGCTGCAGAAATTATAACGGTTCGACCCATCGGACAAAGTTTGACGTCCGCCCCTCCCCCTCCCCCGCCCAGAGTGCGGAAGCACATATCGCCAGGGACAGTGTGCGAAATTGGTCGGGGTCCTACTAGCGCCCCACCGCCTCATCTCCCCCATCAGCTTGCAAGTGGCTCGCGAGGGGTGGCGGGGCGGGCGTCGTGCCCTAACGTATTGGGGCTGTCGCTCCGGGGTGGGAAAAGGAGGGAAAAAGGGGAGGGGGCCCTCTATCTGTATTTTGTTTTTCTTTCCATGTATTTTTGTTGCCAATTTCAGATGTCCGGAATGGATTGCACGACGCTTCGATCGCACGCAGATGGCACGGCATGGCGCCGCGCAGCGTGTCACGCGGGCCGAGAGCCCCCCAGTGCTTCCACACTCTCACTATTCGAATACCCTCTTTGATTTCACGAAGCAGTCGACTTAGTCGTGAATTTAATTGCCAGAAGTCCTATAGATTTGCTAACAGCCTTTGTAATAATTGTGCTGAACAAAAACTCCACTGAAAGCGCAAAACCGCGCGTTTTAAAGTTGACCATTACTATTTGAACTGTTGGGTTAAGCTCGGAAACCAATGGGACTGTCCTAAAGCGCTCCCTTTGACGATCTCTATACGACCTAAAACCACGAAGAACCCCGGAGACTAAGTTCTCTGCGAATGCCCAAATTAACGAGTCTTCGGGAAATCCCCATCACATCTTTAACAGTGTACTAAAAGAGGCCACATTTATCATTTTCAGAAATTAGTGGCATAAATTATGAGTATCCAGGTGGTCAAACAGTTTTTTTATTGAATCAACTGTATATATTTTTCGGTATTCCTTAATCATTTTTAGTACTTTGAAAATCGAGCAGAACGCGAGTTTGTTGCAATGTAAGCAGCAGGATTTCCAGTGTGCGCAGTTCACATGTAAACGACTTACCGGTGTAGAAGAGCAGGCCGTTGGGGCTGCGCGTCTTGAAGCTGAGGCTGACGGTGTCCTGGGTCGACACGATGGGCTCGCCGCCGGTGCGGCTCAGGTCGTACGACAGGTACTCCGTGCCGCGGAAGGTGGCCTCGGGCGGCGCCTTGTCTGGAACACCAAACACGTCGACGACTTAGTCTCACCTGCACGCATACCTGCACGTGCACGAACAACTCTTATCGTGCGGTTCTGTGCGCGTACGCGAGCGTACGCATAGCTCAGTAAAAGAATTATTTATAATTATGTGAGAAATGTTGTGCAAGCTGCGTTTGCACGTACTCGAAATAAAGGCACAAAGGAAAAGTACATAAACATGCAATGTGTAGTGCTGGGATTACGCCGCCGGGTGGGTCTCCCCCCCCCCCCTCTCTCTCTCCGTGGCGCACTAGGAACGCCTGGCTGGCGAGGACAGCACGGGGTTTAGGGCTTAGCTCCATGGCGCTCTTGCTAGCATTCCGCAGCGCGGCGGGCTGCATTCCCAACGCGAGCGCCGCCTGCGGCACGTCACTCTTCCTGGCGGCGAAGCAGAAATAAGTAAAATGCAGGACGGAGGAATAGAAACGTGCGATTGTCTTCGCCGGCAAGCGTGCCGACGTGTTGCTGGCAGCCTGTCTGGCGCGTACGTTGCCCCCCGTGCGTCCCGAGCGCGGCGGGGCGGGCGCGCCTCACGATAGAGCTGCGCGTCGGACGGGCGGGCGGCGAGGGGTCGACGACTGGTGCGCCCCTTTGTACTCCGGGTGCACTGTACTCGGCGCGTACTCAGTACTCCCTGTGTTCCCCCCGAAAATTTGAGTCGTCGTCCCCTCACTAGTTGCCCGCTTGTAGAGTGCGGAGTGGGGAGGAATCTCGTCGGTAGTTCATCTTCCACTACCACGACGGCCAGAATCCACAGCCAGATCCTAAGGTAGCCCGAGTGACGGAGTGGTGACAAGCGGGCGGGAAGACAGCTGCACGGCCACCTCTGAGAGACGAAGTCCCGCCCGAAGCGCAACCCCACCTCACGAGTGCTGCTCTGCTATCGACTTGAGATCACTCCCTCCTCCCAACTGCGCAGCTCGGAATCCCTCTCAAGACGGCGGGCGCGGCAGCAGAGCGTGGCACCGGATTATAACAAGTTTCCTCGCCGTGACGAATCTTTTATTCTCCGCGCCCCAACTCCTGCCCCTCCGCGCCGCGCCGCTTGCGACGTGTCGTCTGCAGATCTGGACGCGCCGCACGGGGGAAACATACAACTCTCGGGTGAAAAAAGAAACCAAGTCGGTTGACACCGACTTCGGCGAAACAACAAGAAGTCGGATGAGTCGGAGCCGTGCCGCAGGAGAGGCCGCCACCTCATAGCGGGCGCGCACAGGGCGGATATTCACAGTCAAAAGAACTGTGCACAATAATACGGTCCACCAGTAAAATTAGGTACGGTGAAGAAGAGCACACATTCGTTGCGTGTCTCGTTTTAAATGACTGAGATTTCTTTGGAACTGCGATTTTTTTGGAACTCGGAAAATTTAAAGGTTATTATAATAAAAGTCGGATGGCACTTGAAATTTTTCCAAAACTTAACATTTACTAGGGGTTTACTTAAGCCTGATGCTGTTTTTTGTCCCAAAGTCCCCTCTACCGCCTTACTGATTCAAAATAGAGCAAAACGGACAACATTTTGGTTCAAAGGGCACTACTTTGACGAGTTACCCCTTAGAACACTGCCTTACATTTTTCCGAGCATTTTTTTTAAAAATATCTTTTTCTAACACCTTACTCCTACCCGATATAGAGGAAAACTAATTGTCAGGTTTAGGGAAAAATTCAAGTGCCGTCCGATTTCTACAAAAAAAAAAACCTTCAAATTTTTCAAGTTTCAACGAAGTTGGAGATCTACACCTGAAAAGGTTCCCTTATTAGTGACGGTCTGAAGGTGAGGTAGAGCCGCGCCGGCGCGCCCAGCGCTCGGCAGCCAGTCTGCGTACGACTCGCAACCCTCTGAGAGACAGATCGCCCGAGGGAAGGGGGAGGAGGTCACTCCAGGCCCAGGCAGCTGGGCTGGGGCACGGGGATGACCTTGAGACGGGGGCCGCCCTCGGGCCCGCCCGCCACACGGCCTCCACGTAGGGGTTGGCCTGGGGCGGCTCCAAGGCCCACGCCGCGCCCGCGCCGCGCCCGCGCCGCGCACCGAGGGGGCGAGGGCGTAGCGTAGCAGCCGAGCAGCGTAGCCAGGAGCCCTGTTTAAGAGGTCACGAATCGTTGGCGGAACCGCTGACCTCCAAACCGGTCGGACTGGGCGCTGGGGTCGGGTTGGGCTGGCGGGCGGGCGGGCGCTGGGAGCCGGCCGCCCACCCCCTTGTCCCGAAACCACCCCTTACCTCGCCAACACACCCGCCGCCCCTGAGCAGCGCGCCTACACCGACCCGTTGCCACCACTCTGGCACCCCCGCCACGCCCCGCCACGCTACGCCACCCCACGCCCCACCCATCAGGCGGTGCAAGGCTGCGGCGCGCCGCGCTGTCGGGGAGCTGCACGTGATCGCACAAGAACACACAAGGGTGGAGAAAAAAGGAGGCGGGAGAGAAAAGCGCCAAAGCCACCCCGCGAGCGTAGAGCTCCGCGCCGCTCAGCGCCGCTCTGCGCAGCAACAACTCTACCCGCGGAGCAACTACTAGAGAAATTAATGGCTTGTCCTCTTTTGGCTTCTCTCCGCTCTGGCCGCTCCGCTCCGCTCCGGGCCGGGCCCCCCACCCCTTTCAATCTCCCGCCCTCCGCCCTCATTGTGCTGGCCAAGTCCGCCGCAATCGCTACCCGCTCGGAATCATGAGCGCCGACGATCCTCTCGCCGCACAACACACACGTGTTACACATGTTATGAGGGCCGGGCTGGGCCGGGCTGGGCCGGGCGCACGATGGGGGCGGGAGCACAATACTGGGCGAGCACACTGGGCAGGGCGGGGCGGGGCTGCGGTGTGCAACATAGTAGCGGCGGCGGCAGCAGCTCCATCACCGCGCGCACCACCACACCACGGGCCTGGTGCCGGCCGCAAGCCACCGCCGCAGCCGCCGACCAGACCCCTCAACCTCCACGGCCGCCTCAAGAGGGAGACAGAGAGTCGATGCTTCGCGTCCCTTTGGTTGGAAGGGGAGGCGACTCTCCTGTTGCCGCTATGTAGAGTGTGTGAAGTGAAGGGTGAGAGGCTCGTCTGGTCGGTGGGTACTTCATACCACACCCTCTACCCTCACTTTTTCCTTTAAAAAAAGTACGACGACACGTAGAATTTAATGTGGGAAAAAAAATTGTCTCCGACTAAAAAGGAAGTTGAATGGAACTTGGCCCAGGATTCAATAAGCGCTGGCGCGTCACAGCCGGCCGGGCTGCGCTGTTGCCGCTCAGGGGATTGGCAAGCTCCGCCGCGCCCCGCCAGCCCCGCCCTCCGGCGATAAACATCTCTAATCGAACGTTAAAGTAAGCAACGGGCGGCAATAACATTAAACAAGACCGACGCAGTCGGTAAGCGAAAATCCGGTTTGGGCCAAGATTTAGTGATTGGTCAGTGGAGGGGGGAGAAGGGGCCAGGCCGGGGAGGATAGCGGCTTGAAGGGGCGGGGGTAGTCCCCGGGGGCTTAGAGGGGGTTGACGCAGAGTGGAAGGAGGAGAGGGAGGAGCGGGACGGCCGGGCAAGTCGACTCAAGAAGAAGATCAGAAATAGGAAGAGCAGGAACCAAAGGGGGAGGCAGAGCGGATGAGCGGGAGAGAGGGAGTGGAGGGAAGGGAGGAGGAGAGGGAGAGAGAGAAGGAGAGAGAGGGAGGGAGGGGAAAGGACTCCATAGCACCATGGTAGTGGTGAAATAAAGAAGCTGCAGCTCTGAACGCGACGATAGAAAGGGTGTTTCTGCGAGGCCATACCAGGGGGGCGGGCCGGGCCGGGACTCTTCGAGACCAGCGCACAATTAATCCGACTTAAACAAACTCCCTAACAAGGCGGCGCGCTCGCCAATTATTTTGGTCCGGAGCCGCACGCTGTAGTGCGATGCGTATGCCGCGGCATTGCCGGGCGGGGCGGGGCGGGAGTATTGGGCGCAATTAATGTTTGTGCTTCGCCCGTAGTTGGCGCGAGTCCGGATCCCGTTAGCGGTGCCCGGTGCCCGGTGGCGCCCTCTGCACGACACACGCCGCGGGCCGGCGCGCTCCAGGCACGCCAGCGCTCTCCCACCGAACTGTTTATACTCGTCCGCTTTCCACTGCGAGCCAAGCAAAGTGTGTTCGTACAGCGCATCACACCGCTGCAAGCACGAAAGCAGAGCGGGGGCGAGAGCTGAGCTGGAGCGAGAGAGGGGGCAGTGAGGGGAAGCTGAGGTGAATTATGAAGAGGCGGAACAGGGACAAAAGAGTGCACTCAAGAAGGAGAATAACGCACAAGAACAAGAAGAAATGAGAGCAAGGGGAAAACAGGAACGGCGCAGAGAGAGAGAGGGACAGAGATAGAGAAGCCCACCACCACCGCTCTCCCGTGTTGCAGACGAGGTGTGGGGCAGCAAAGTCGGATGGATTTATAGGATTACCCGCGGGCAGCGAAGAGTGTGGGAGGGACGGGTTGTTGCGACTTGAAGATCGACTTCAGCGTCCCCCCCACACGACCATGCACACGTGCCCATACGCATGGCGTCCCGACCTGAGCAGTTGCACGAGCGTTGTCTATCATGCCTCTCAAACACGCATGAAAAATATCCCTGCATAAGATAAATTTTGCAATTTACTAAGATATACGAAATTTGTCGTGTAAATTTATGGCATCTCGTTTTTGCTCGTTACTGAGTTCCAAGTCGATACGCAGTGCTTTTACATACAATTTCGGCACGCTTTTGGTTTATACGACTCGGGTAGCCCGACTCCAAGCACGGCGAGGTATACCCGCAGTTACGCATCCAGAACACGACATTCCAGAGACTCATTCGGAATGATTTACCCCCCGCTGTCCTTTTGAATTGTCCCGCGCTGACCGCCGGCTAATTTATAAATGTGGCGCCTTCCTCGCACCTGCCCGCCAACACAAAGGCCAGGCCAGCGCCCCCGCGCGCCGGCCGCTGCTTTTTGTCTCTCTCTCTCTCTCTCTCTCTCTCTCTCTCTCTCTCTCTCTCTCTCTCTTTCCCTCTGCAACTCACACAAACACGAGACAGCAGTCCCGCTTCATTATTCAAGAGGCTACTCGTATGACGTCCTGGGCTGGCTGGGGT